AGGATGCCAAAAGAGATACCTGAGAACCAGAATTAAGCCTAGAGCCAGGTGTGGTCAAATCCCCACCCCTCACTGCCCAAGCAAAGAGTGACTTAATTTGTTCCTGGAGAAATAATTTAAAGGTTAAGGTGCTCGCCTTGCATGCAGCTGTAGCCATGGTAGCACTGTAGCACTGTCCTCCTGTTTTCATTGATTTGCTCAAGCAGGCACCAGTAACATTTCACAACAAATTGTGAGACTTGTTGCTACAGTTTTTGGCATATCGAATATGCTGGGGAGAGCTTGCCAGGCTCTGCCATGTGGTAGCCATGGTATTGGTTCAAATTTCATTAATATTGCATATAGTCCCCTTTATCACCACCAAGAATGGCTCCTAAACCCTGCTTGGTGTGTCCCCGAACCAATAAATAAATAAATAAATAAATAAATAAATAAAAGTTGTCACAACACTATGCCACATGCATCCACCATTATCTATTAACCTCCCTCTGCTCTTTGAGTCCTCCTCTAGTGACCAGAAATGTTGGAGTGGTTCATCTGTAATCTTGTTTTTTGTTTTTATGGGTATATTCTGGTCCTCTTGTCAGATTAGTTACTACACTTGTCCCTGCTATTCGTGAGAATCAAAATTCACGGGAATAAAAAAATTCTCTGAAGATAGTACCTGTGTCTATTATTTTGTTTGATACGGGAACTACACGTTGTGATGTTTAGAGATTGTTTTTGGCTTTCCACTCAGGAATTACCCTGGCAGTCATAAATGTACTAAGTCAGGGTGGTACTGAGAATGGTAGATGTGATAGTAACTACTTGGGCTACTGTTGATGCAGGATGGCCATTGAGGACTTCCATTTGAAGACATTGGAATTAAATCTAATAATGAAAAGGAGGAAACAAAAAACAAGCTGGAAGAAAGAAGCGGGAGCAACAAATGAAAAGTCTAGACCAGGGATGGAGCAATAAGCATGGCAGGCAGTGCGTTTGCCTTGAAGACAGCTGACCTGGGTTCGATTCCCAGAATCCCCTGTGGTCCCATGAGCACTGCCAGGAGTAATTCCTAAGTGCAGATCCAGGAGTAACCCCTGTGCATCACCGGGTGTGACCCCAAAATATCAAGAAAATAAAAACAAAAAGCCTAGACAGACTGGGCTGACTTACCTTTGGGGTTTATATTGCATTACATAGTTTAAGAAATATAGTGGTTCCCTGGCCAAGCAAGTGAAAACAGAGACAGACAAATGGGACCATCTTAAACTAAGAAGCTTCTGCAACTCAAAAAAAAAAAAAAACAGTGACCAAAATACAAAGACAGTCTACAGAATGGGAAAGGATATTTGCCCAATACACATCTGACAGGGGTTGATATCAAGGATATCAACAAAGTACTGGTTGAACTCCACAAGAAGAAAACATCCAACCCCACCAAAAAATGGGGCAACAAAATGAACAGAAACTTTCTCAAAGAATAAATCCAAATGGCTAAAAGGCACATTAGAAAATGCTCTACATCATTAATTATCAGGGAGATGCATACCAAAACCACAATGAGATACCATCTCACACCTCAGAGACTGGCCCACATCCAAAAGAACAAAAGCAAACAGTGTTGGCGCGGATGTGGCGAGAAAGGGACCCTCCTTCTCCCACTGCTGGTGGTAATGCCGACTGGTTCAGCCCTTTTGGAAAACAGTACGGACGATTCTCCAAAAATTAGAAATTGAGCTTCCATTTGACCCAGAAATATCACTCCTGGGGATATATCCCAGAGAGGAAAAAAAGTATAATTGAAGTGACATCTGCACTTGTTTGTTCAATGCAGCACTCTTTACAATAGTTAGAATCTGGAAAAAACCTGAGTGCCCAAGAACAGATGACTGATTAAAGAAACTTTGGTACATCTACACAGTGGAGTACTATGTAGTTGTTAGAAAAGATGAAGTCATGAAATTTACATACAAATGATACTACATGGAAAGTATCATGCTAAGTGAAATGAGTCAGAAAGAGAAGGACAGACATAGAAAGATTGCATTCATCTTGGGAATATAAAGTAACAAAATAGAAGACTAACACCCAAGAATAGCCAAGATAAGTATCAGGAGGTTTACTCCATGACTTGGAGACCAGCCGGACATGCTAGGGGAAAAGGCAACTCAGATAGAGAAGGGAGCACCAAGTAAAGGGTGTTGGGAGGATCCCACTAGGATGGGAGAAGCATACTGAAAGTACACTATAAACCGACTATAGACTATAGAACATGATTGCCACTAAATGCCTCTTTTGCAAACCACAGCACCCAAAAGGAGAGAGAGAAAACAGGAGGGAATGCCCAGTCACAGAGACAGGGTGGGATGAGAGGGATGGGGGGTAGGAGGGATATTGGGATCCATAGTGGTGGAAAATGGGCACTGGTGGAGGGATTGGTATTTGATCATTGTATACTTGAAACCCAAGCACAAAAATTTGTAAGTCTACAACTGTACCTCATGGTGTCTCACTAATAAAAATTTAAAAAAAAAAAAAGGAATGCCCTGCCACAGAGGCAGGGTGGGATGGGGGGATGGGAGGTGGGAGAGGTACTGGGATCAGTGGTGGTGAAGAATGGGCACTGGTGGAGGGATGGGTACTCAATCATTGTATAACTGAAACCCAAGCACAAAAATCTGTAAATCTACAACTGTACCTCATGGTGTTTCACTAATCACTTAATCACTTAATCACTTAATCCCCGTTATTCATCGATTTATTCGAGCGGGTGCCAGTAACGTCTCCATTCCTCACGGTTGCGTGCTAGCGTAGCCCAATGGTATCTGTTCGTTTTAGGAACATGTAGAGCCTCAAACCGATCATTTAGGGTCTTGACGAAGAAGTCTGACCATCTTATAGGTGGGCGTCCACGTGATCTTTTGATGTCTCGTGGAATCCAATCAGTAATGGCTCTAGTCCAGCGGTTGTCTGTAAACCTCATTACATGTCCAGCCCATCTGATTTTTGATGTCTTGGCAAATGAGACAGCGTCTCTGATTCTTGAGCGTTGACGAAGATCAGAACTCCGGATTCTATCTCTCATTTGAGTGAATCGTGATATTCCAAGCATAGTTCTTTCGATTCCTCTTTGAGAGACCCGAATAGTGTTCTCATCCTGTTTTCGTAGGGTCCAGGTCTCTGAGGCATATGTTAATGCAGGAAGAATAGTGGAATCAAAGAGATGTGCTCGTAGTTGGAGGTTCTTTGTCCTTTTAGTTATTTCTTCAATGCTCTTGAAGGCATTCCAAGCTGCTCTCTTCCTCCTGCGTAACTCAGGTGCCAGGTCATTCATCATGTTGATTTCTCGACCTAAGTATATATAACTGTTGCATTCGGAGATGGTGGTTCCGTTGAGAGCGAATGGAGCGTCAGGAACAAGGCTGTTTCTCATAAACATTGTCTTCGTAAGATTCAGCTGTAGTCCAACCTTTCCACACTCACAGTCAAAGTCCGCAAGCATTTGTGCTGCTTGGCTGATGTTTGGTGTTATTAGAACTATGTCATCAGCAAAGCGGAGGTGGTGTAGTTGCCGACCATCTATCTTCACTCCCATGTTTTCCCATTCTAGTTGTCGCATGATGTTCTCGAGGGTGGCACTGAAGAGTTTTGGTGAAATGGTATCACCCTGCCGAACCCCTCTCTTGATATGGATGATTACTTCTTTGTAGAATGGTGAGATCTTGGTAGTGAATCCGCAATAGAGCTCACGAAGGATCCTGATGTATTGAGTTTGTACGCCCTGATTGGCTAGGGCTTCCATGACCGCTTCCGTCTCAACAGAATCAAAGGCCTTCTTTAAATCAATGAACGTTAGACAGAGAGGCAAGAAGAAGAAGACTCCCAGAACAACCACCAACTGGGAACTCTTTGGCTCTGTTGCAGCAACTTGGGAAGATGCCGTCATTGACAACATTGATGAGGAATACGATCGAATGATTCAGCACCTCCATGATTGTGCAAGGAATGCCAAGAGAGAGATAACCACAAAAAACCGTCTTTCTTCGAACACTCTTGAGCTTATTCGCCAACGTGGCGTGGCACGTGCCTCAGGCAACCACAAGCAAACGTCCGAACTGGCAAAACAGTGCAGAAAAGCCATCAAGGATGACCTCAAAAACAGGAGAGCAGCAGTACTGGTAGATGCAGCAGAAGCTGGGAAAAACATTCGTAATGCCCGCCTGTCCTTCACCAACTACAAAACCAAGATGACTGCCCTCCGACATCATGATGGATCTATCACATCTTCCAGAAGGGCAATGGAGAAGATTATTCATGAATTCTACTCAGATCTCTTTAATAGCCACATCCACTTGCCCACATACCACATACCACATGATGGATATGTCGTTCCCAATGTTCTCCCTTCCGAAATCCAACATGCCATCTCGTCGGTAAAGAAACAAAAAGCACCTGGCCCAGACAAGATCAGACCTGAACACCTGAAGAACTTACCATCAGTACTCATCAATACATTAGCTCGACTCTTCACACGCTACCTGTCTGAATGCAAGGTTCCATCCCAATGGAAAACCAGCAAGACTGTACTACTATACAAGAAAGGAGACATCCAGGACATTGGCAACTATCGCCCAATCTGCCTATTGTCTGTCATCTACAAACTATTCACTCGAGTCATCCTGAATAGGATTAGCAGAACACTAGATGAAGGACAACCATGTGAACAAGCTGGATTCCGAAAAGGATTCAGTACCATCGACCATATCCACACAATAACCAAGCTCATTGAGGTATCTCGGGAGTTCAAGGTGTTTCACTAATAAAAATTAAAAACAAACCAAAAAGAAATACAGTGGCTCCTATTTTATTTGACACCTGACATTCCCCAGGTGAGTCTGGGACAACAGTCTGAGGAAAGCTCTCTGTGTGGCTCATAATGCAGACCAGCTAGCTTGGTGCCCACTGAAAGTGGTTTGTGTCCAGAGAAATGTTGTCTCTGAGCTCAGCAGACTCACGTTTTTTTTGAAGCTGTGTTCTTCAGAACATTCAGAATCATCCTGCCAAATATCTGTGGAGTTCTCCCGCATCTGCCAAGTCCCTTGAGCCAAACAGTATCTGTGGGCCATTCCTGATCTCTCTGAAATGAAACACAGCTCTAGAGAAAAGGTCAAAATACACAACCCAGCCCCCAAACACTTGGTAAAGGACTCACCCTTGTAGCAAATCTGTGGAAAATCCCAGGGAAAGGGAATTTTTTAAACTTCCCTTTAGGGGCTCATTAGCTTCCTTACTGTTTATTTGGGATGGAAAGCAAAACACAGATGTCTCTACATTTCCTAACAAATTATGATCTGATAGTGTCTTCTATGTTTACCCAAAGTCCCTGGAGCTAGTCCCTGGTGATACTGACACCTGGAAGCCCTCCAAAATTCATTCCAGCTGGGAGATGCCAGTTGGAGGCTCCCAGGTTATTTCTGATGTCCAAGACAGGGTTCCATGAAGAAATTTTAATGGCTGCTTTGTCCCCTACAGACTTTGGGCCAGGTCCTTCTACTTATGGCTTAATTGTTTCTTCTTGAGGAATTGAAGTTTGATGGTGGGTTAAATTAAAATGCACGGTGATGGGTAGAATATTATACCAATGATATTGGCTTTTGTGTCTTTATTACATCTACTCCAGGGGCCATTGCTCACTCAAATGTTCTTCAACCTGGAGAATCAGACTTGTAAATTAAAAGTAAGAACTTTTGGAATTATTAGTCCTATCCTTTAGTATAGACCAGCAATTCCTATTTGCTAAATTAATGGGTGAATAGCTACATATTACACCAACTTATCTACATGATACAACACTGTTTTCTTAGAGAAACAGATAAAGATAAATTCTTTATCTTCTCAAACTGCTCCATATTACTGGATAGCAAATTGATCTTTCCAGTCTTCTGTAATTGAGGCCTTCCTTTCATTATTTAGGCTTTTATTATCCCTTATTTTCTCCATCAGGTAATTCTGTCTTGTTTTCATGTATTTGAGATATTTAACTATCATTTTTCAGCCCTGACATCCTCTAATGAAACTCACAAATATCTTCAACTTCGATTATTCTGATATGGAGACCATGTTATTCTGAGACTTGGTAGTCTTAATAAAATTATTAAAATATAAGTTACTTAATGCCAAAAATGTGCTGAAAATTATATAAATGTTCTCTTGTCTGAAATAAAAAGCTAGATTCTTTTTGTGACCTTCGGAAATACTTATAAAGTTTGGTCCCCAAATGCTTAGACTTTGCCTCACGTTGTTTTCCTTTTGACCTGCTAGACAGTTGTTTACATTCATTATTTCATTCTCTCCTGCAAATTTTTCCACAAGTGGACATAAATTCCTTATCTCTTTTAAATTTTCTTAAAAACATCTCTTTGTTACAAAGCTGGCCCTGACCAGACAATTTATAATAGCCATTTTATTGCCCCAATTCCAACTCTCCTATGCCTTAATCCACCTATCCTATATTGTTTAAAATACTTCACATTCAAAAGTATTTTGAACTTTTCTTATATGTGTCTTGAATAACAATTTTTCTATCCTATTGGATTGTGATCCCCATAACAAAATGGGATTTATTGTTTTGGTCACTAAAATATACTGAGCATCTAAATCACACTTGGTGTTATTAAATCACACTTACACAAGTAAGTGTTAACATTTTTAAATTAGAAATGCAACTATGTTTTTTAATATCTGTGCTCTTATGGCAGCCATAAATCTGGGGATGTAGAGAAGAAGGAGGCTGATCTCCAAGCATAGTGTGGAAATATATGCAAATAAAAATGCCATATGATATTAGACATACAAACGTTGAAGACGGGAAAGCTACAGAGAAGACATTGGGAGACAGAACCCTTGCTTGAGTGTAGTAGTCTGGAATATATTCTAAAAATTTACCTATCATATTAAGAATTAAGTATACATAAAAGTGTGGGTAGAAGCTTTAAAGGATTATGGTAAGAATTGTGAGAGAAACTGGGAAGCAGTAGCTTTCAGAGAAAGGAGTCTGTGCTTGCTCTTTTCACTGGGATGGAGGTGGGCAAAAATACCAGAAAGGTTGATAGGTTCACATGATGGAAGTTATGCAGTGCCATTTGGAATTGTTGGTGATCGACCAGTATAAAATCTGATGGAGAGCTCGGTGAATGATGATTAGAAGGGTCCAGAGTTGAAGCAGGGGATTAGGTGACAAAGCATCAGACAGCAAATATGAGCAGTGAGGGAGGAGGGGAGAAAGCACTAGGTAACTTCATATAAACTGGATGAGAGATATGTGGGTCGGGGGGATGTGAAGTATTTTTTCTTCATTTTTCTACTCCTGTTTCATGATTCCCATTACTCCTGATGATTAAGAAGTATTATCCAACACCAAGACAGTTTTTTACTCCCTTTCCCGTTCATTGCCTCTTTCTGAAACATAATCTCATCACTCATTTTATTTCTGGAAATAGATTCCTTATTTGCCTCCTTGGTTTCCCTACATCTCAGCATAACAACCATAAGTTGTTCAGAATGTTATTCCTCAGACCACAAATTGTGCTATATCCTTCTCAAGATTCAAAAGGACCATGGAAACATGTAGCTTTCTTTAGCAATCTTGCCAGCCTAGATTCACTATTATACTCACTCCCTTGCAATATTATTTTGTTTTGTCCTATAATTTTATCTCAAAAAAATTCTCCATCCTTTTTTTTCCCAAACCACCCCAAATGCCATTGTCTTTATATTCTCTTTTTTTCTGTAGGATCATATAGAATGTCAAATATTTAATACACAAAATGTTTAAAAGAGTAGTTTTCCACATTTTTAAAATGCATTCTCTTTAGTAAACTTCAGGAAGGTAGGTACCATTTCAATAGTAGTAAATCTTCTATTCAACTTTTATGAAAATTGAATTATTTTTTTATTATTTTATTATTATTTTTTCTCTGTCACGTAATATACCTGGATATTTAGTTATGAGAAATAATAGGTGGCTCTAGGTGGTAATGTCAACCTTATCCTCAATCTTAGTTCCCATATCCAAAACATCTACTGTATTGCTTGGAACTTAATAACTGCTTATGTTTCTTTAAAAAGCTTCTAAAGGTCCTTAGAGTTAACCTTTATCTTTAGTAAAAGTCGAAATAGTTCTAGTCTGTGATTGTTTGTCTCCCTTTTCCAGAATAAATTAAGAGGTTGGATTTCAAGAAAAGTTGGAGCTGGGACATAGCCATGGTTCCTGAGTAACAGTCATACCCTTAAAGTATCAGCAGAACACACCAAGTGTTTATTTGTGAAATTCTCTATACCAGAATTTCACAGGCCTAATGACACCAGTTCCATACTACCACATATTTCAAGAATATTTTTGGCCTTATTTCTGTCTGACAAACCAAGAGTTTTGTGGTTGTGATTATCCCAATCTTTCTGCCTCATGTCATCCTCCTTTATGACGATGGAAAGACTTCTGCCATTACAGAAAATTCTGTGAGAGTGCAGCAGTATTTGATTCTATAATCTTCAAAGAATATAGGACTACAGTGCTAGTGGAACAACCAATCACAGAAGTATTTCAGAAATAAACTGAAGAAGTAGAGAAATTGAGATATCTAAGTAACAGTTTATTTATTTTTAAGTAACAGTTTAGATGGGTACCTGTGGAGGTAGAAGGAAAGTACAATTCTTTGCTTCCTAGTTTCTTCCTTGGAGGACCTACTTTTTAAGGAACTGCTATAAATTGGTGAAAGTAAAACTTATTACCTTCATTCCACCAAGGTAAATAAAATGGGCAGGGAACAGAGACGTTTCCTGGGAAGGAATGAGGCCAGCACACATACTGATCAAAGGTACCATTGCAAAATATGCCTGCAAAGAGAAGAATGTATCAATAAATAAAGTTGGAGCCTGTTGTTCACTTACGGAGGGAGATACAACAAGAGCCAAGACTTCCTGGCTGCAGAAACTGAGACCTGTTAGGAGAAGAGCATAGACATCCAGATATCTAGATGGTTCAAGATGAGGAAAAATTATGCATAATGTACATAATGCAGCCTCAAATGTTGTAGCTTTGTCCACCAAATGACCTCTGTCAGTGGTTCATTTTGTCAGTGTGTTTGTCCTGCTTTTTTTGGTTTGATTTCACAACAGCTGAAATCTTACAAAAACCCAAAATCAGGAACACGCTGGAGGTTCTACTTACTCCTTATATTTTATAATTAATTTGTTAAATCATCACTAATTTTATCTCCAACACCCATAATCAGATGCACAAATTAAACCAGTCAATATAATATATCTGAAGATCTGAGATTCTTGGTCACATGTAAATGACACAAATATTGTACAATCATGTCTCTGTATGAAAACTAATCTAATAATTGTTCTGAATTTTCTGAATGGTACCTAGCTCATGAGTAATATATGCTCCATAATCTGTCAAGAAGAAACTCTAAGTAAACCTATATACCTCCTGGAATCAAAGAGAAGTGTTACAGGCTGAATCTCAACTTCTAAACTCAATTTACTTGCTTTTGTAAACTAAATATATACAAATGTTTAAATGGACTGTCTAGGTCTATTAGTGCCACTCCATGGAAATAATTAAATCAATGATTCTAGGGCATAATAGATGTAGCTCTGCTATGTTATGAACTCTCTTGAAGTATCTGAACAGTAGATTCTGTCAGATATAATCATCTTCCTGGTCTATGTACGTGTAATCAGCAATGCTCACAGTGCATTTCTAAAGAGAAGCTATGCTACTTTGACCAAAAATAAACGTTACTTTGTTAAGTGCTTGAATACTGTATAGTTTTAGGAGTCATAAAAATGGAAGTTTTATAGTGTTCTGTCAAATGTCCAGATCTGTGAAAGAAAGGATCTAAAATAAATTAGGAAAGCTTCATCTTGGGTCTACCATACTTAAGGGCAATATAACAGATCCTTCTTTTTATATTTACATAGTAAACAGCAAATTTGGATGCCTCCAAGAGTCGTATTTTGGATAGGAGATTTGCAATATATTAAGCACCTCTCATGAAATGTTGAAATTATACATATATTTGCTAGAAGGTTCTAAACTCAGTCTAACACAGAGAAGTGAAATTACTAAAATTTAGCTAATTCTTTTGGCATTAAAAATCCCAACTATTCACTAAGTACCAGGTTAATCCATGACAATTGTTTATGTCATGTGATCAATTACTGGTAAGTGTTAAATGTCAGGTTGGCTTGCCAAATATAGCTGAATCTCTCACATTTCACATACACAAAGGGGAACAGTCATTAACTTTTCCCCTTAAACTTGAGTAGATCATTATAAATGTCTGATCCAAGTGAGCATTGACAAAAATGTTTTCTAGGATTAGGTCATAAAGACAACAGAAGATCTCATTGTGCTTCCCCTTAGTTCCCAGAAACCATGTTTTAAGAAAACTCAGACCATGTCAAATGGTCATGTGTAAAATTGCTTGCTCAGTTCTCAACTGGGAATTGTGTGTGAGCAAGCAAGTGTATGTGAACAAGTCTTCAGGTGACTCTAGCCTCAGCTTTTGAGTCTGCAGTGAAAATAACCAAATATGGTAAAGGAAAAAACTAGCCACCTTAGATTGGCCCTGTATGAATCTCTTACTCACAGAAATGGTAAAATATAACATTTTGTTATTTCAAGGCAGGAAAGTGTGGGGCAAATTGTTACACATGCATGAATAATTAATACATGCACTTACCAGAAGGTTCCTTACGTAAGTCTCTTAGACACTTTTCTTTATACTGAGCCCACCGCTGGGTTGTCTTCTCAAGAAGAGATCCTGTAACCTAAGCAGAAATAGCATGGTGTCTATTCCCTAAATTGCTGAAAACATAGGAATGGGTTTTATTTGCTTTTGTTCAGGGGCCCCACCAAGCTTTGCTCAGGACTTACTCCAGAATCTGTAATCAGGAATCACTACTGGTGGGGTTCAGGGGATCATAGGCTGTGCTAGGGGTAGAACCAAGGTTGGCTGTGTGCAAGGCAAATACCTAATATGAACTGAAACAAGAAACAAGATTTTTCATCTAATCATTGTGTCTATCTTTAAAAGTTTGTATTCATAACATGATACATGAAAAATTGTTCTGCATAGCTAATAATAAGAAATATATAAATTAAAACAACAATGAAATAGAGACTGGCACAAATCCAAAGGAACAATAACAACTAGTGCTAGCACAGATACGGCAAGAAAGGGACTCTCTTTCATTGCTGGTGGAAATGCTGACTGGTTCAGCCTTCTTGAAAAACAGTATGAATAATAATAAAAAAAAATTACAAATTGAGCTCCCATTTGACCTAGCAATACTATTTTGGGGAATATACCCTTAGGGCCAAAAAAACAGCAGAAATACCATCTGCAGTTCTATATTCCGTAGCATTTTATTCACAATAGCCATGATCTGTAAGCAACCCAAGTACAAATGAAGAAATGAGTGGATAAAGAAACTATGGTACATCTACACAGAGGAACACTTCATGGCTTTTAGGAAAAGCAAAGTCCTGAAATTTGCTTATAAATAGATGGACATTGAGAGTATCATGCTGAGTTAAATGAGTCAGAAGGAAAGAGGTAGACTTGAAATGACTGCAACTATTTGTCAAATATAAAAAAAATATGAGGCTAACATCCAAATGCCAGGGAAAAATAGGGGCCAGGAGGACTGTTCAATGGTTACAGTGAGTGGGGGCATATGGCAGTTAGGATCGAGATGGGACCAGTACGACAATAATAGCTGGAAATGATCACGTTGGACAGCCTGTTTCTGGGGGTGTTGTAGGAGGAAAACAGAGGGCATTGGTGGTGGGAAATATGCACTAGTGACTGAAACTAGATCATGAACAGCCTTATAACTATCTTATAGTGATACCACTAACCAAGCAGGTGGAAGAAATGATAAAAAAAATGGAATACATTGAACTAAAAAGTTTCTGAACCTGAAACTGGGGCCATTAGTGAGGGGGGAAGTACACTATTGAAGGGATGGACATTGGAACATTATATTACATAAATCCAATCATGAACAACTTTGTAAGTGCGTTTATCACTGTTATCCAATTAAAAAATTAAAATAAAAAAGCTTCTGAACCTGAAAAGAAACAGTTACCAAGTTATAGAGATGACCCAAAGTATGGGGAAAATACCATCAAATAAGGGGTTAATATATAAAAAAGCTAAGTCTCTGGTAGAACTTTATAATATAAAAAATCCAACCCCATCAAAAATGGGGAGAAGAAATGAACAGAAACATCCTCAAAGAAAATACAAATGGTCAAAAGGCACATGAAAAAATGTTCTACATCTCTGTAGCACTGTAGCTCTGTCCTCCCGTTGTTCATCAATTTGATCGAGTGGGCCCAGTAACGTCTCCACTGTGAAACTTGTTGTTACTGTGTTTGGCATATCAAATACGTCACGGGGAGCTTGCCAGGCTTTGCTGTGTGGGTGAGACACTCTCAGTAACTTGCCAGGCTCTCCGAGAGTGGAAGAGGAATTGAACTCAGGTCATGGTGAAATGCAAATCGCAACAATAAGAAATCTGGAGCAGTTGAACAGCGAGTAGGGCATTTACCTTGCACATGGCCGACCCAGGTTCGATTCCTCCACCTCTCTTGGAGAGCCTGGCAAGCTACCAAGAATACCTTGCCCACACAGGAAAGCCTGGCAAGCTACTCGTGACTTATTGGACATGCCAAACACAGTAACAAGTCTCACAATGGAGATGTTACTGGGCCCACTTGAGCAAATCGATGAACAATGGAAGGACAGTGCCTCAGTGCTACACCACAGAGAATGGCATGCATCTAAAAGAACAAGAACAGTCAGTGCTGGGAGAGATGCAGATAGAAAGGTACTTTCATTCATTGTTGGTGGAAATGCCAACTGGCCCAGCCTCTTTGGAAAACAAGATGTGCAGTCCTCAAAAAACTCAAAATCTAGCTTCCATATGACCCAGTAATACCACTTTGGGGAATATTCACCAGAGGCGCAAAGACACACAGCAGAAATGTCATCTAGACTTCTATGTTCATTGCAGTACTATTCACAATAGCCAAAATAGAAAACAACCAGAATACCTGAGAACAGATGACTGGTTAAAAAAACTACACGGTGGACTGCGACACAGCTCTTAGGAAAAACGTCATGAAATTTGCTTGTAAATGAATGGACATGTAGAATATCATGATGAGCGAAATGAGTCAGAAGTAGAGGGACACAAAATGACTGCATTCATTTGTAGGATATAATTAAAAACATAGTATGAGACAAATACCCAATGACATTAGAAACAAGGGCCAGTAGGATTGGTTCACAGTTGGGAGTCTGCCTCCTGTGCTGGGAGAGAAGGCAGTTGGGGTAGGGAAGGGAACCCATAAGACTTTGATAGTTGTAAATGATCACTCAGAATAAGAACTTCCTACTTAAAATAGGTTGAGGATCAGACATGATAATCTCAGTACTCTGTTGCAAATCATTATGCCCAATATGATGGAGAGAGAATGAGAGAGAGAGAGAGAGTGAGGAAAAGGCTGGAAGGGTGAAGGGGGCAGGGTGGTAGGTGGGATAGTGGAGATATTGGTCACTGGTGCTGGAAATAGTATACAGGTGGAGGGATTGGTGACAGGAGATTGTATGACTGAAACTGAATCACGAACAGCTTTGTGTATCTCATGGTGATTAAATAAAAATGTGAATCCCCAAATTATAGGTATACAGGAAGGCTGGAGTGATAGCACAGCGGGTAGGGCATTTGCCTTGCATGCGGCCTAGCCAGGTTTGATTCCTCTGTCCCTCTCGGAGAGCCCGGCAAGCTACCGAGAGTCCCACCTACACAACAGAGCCTGACAAGCTACCCATGCCATATTTGATATGCCAAAAATAATAACAACAAGTTTCACAATGGAGACGTTACTGGTGCCCACTCTAGCAAATCAATGAACAATGGGAGGACAGTGCTACAGTGCTACTTAAAGGCCCTCCCGTTGATCATCGTTTTGCTCGAGCGGGCCCAGTAACGTCTCCATTGGAGACTTTGTTGTTACTGTGTCTGGCATATCGAATACGTCATGGGGAGCTTTAAAGGTAAAGTAAAATGGGAGGGGAAAGAACAAGTGGTAGAAAAGGTAAAAGCTGAGAACATCCCCATTCTCTGGAGGGAGACAATTGCACAAATTCAAGGGGGCAAAAGATTATCAAACAAAATAGACTAAAATAGAACAACACAATGACACATAGTAATTAAAATTTTGAAAAAATAGAAGAACATATTAATGCAGCATAAACGGTCACGGTCCTCCCATTGTTCATCGATTGGCTCGAGCGGGCCCAGTAACGTCTCCATCATGAGACTTGTTGTTACTGTGTTTGGCATATCGAATACGTCACGGGGAGCTTGCCAGGCTCTGCTATGCATTAATGCAGTATAGGAGGAGGAAAGCCTTGAAAATAAAGAAAATAACATAAGAATCACAACAAATCTTGCATATGAAATGGCACAGTTGAGAAAAGAGTGGAATGACGTACTCGAATATTGAATTTTATAAACTTTGTACCTAGAGTCCACTGCCCTGCAGAGCTCTCATTCAGATGGGAGGAAGGCATAAAAGTGTTGGGGCTGGACTGAGCCGTCAGGATGAGCCCATGTAGACTGCACTGCACAGGCAGGAAAAAGAGACCCATGAAAATGGGCAAGATTTTTTGTGTGTCCTGACCAGTTTGGATGAAGCTGAACATCTTTTTCCTTTAAGCTGCCTTCAGTATTAATTTCATAGATTTCAGTATATTGAAAGGGCAGTTCTCCTTTTCACATGGAAGCCCAGCCTGATCTTTGACATGTAGATTCCGGGTCAGGCCCAGACTAGTCTTTGGGATGCAAACGCAAATGCTTTTAGCTCAAGAAAGGTTCCAGCTTCACAAGGAAACAATACATGCCACGCCTGCCTCAATGTTCTTTGGTAACTTCTTTTGATGATGTCACTGTATTGCGCCCTTTAAAGGAATGATGATCAATAAAAGGAGACTTCAGGACAGTCTGCCTTTTGTCACAGGATCAGAGAGAGTCCAGTGATCCTCCAAGAAAATACTTTCTCTTGAGTTCATTGTCTCAGCTCTGCCTCCAACTGAACGAACATTCACCCAATATGAAAGCATTCAGACAAACAAGAGTTAATAGCATTTGTGATAAGCAAACCAGCACTCAATGAACTCCTGAAAGGTCACTTATAAACTAAAAGCCAATTGCAGAGCAACAAAGCAAAATTTTAGACCAATCGCCTTGATGCAAAATCCTCAATAAAATATTGCAAAAATCAAAATGTAATTAAAACATACACCACCAAGTGGGACTCATCCTATGAATTTAAAGATGGTTCAACACATGCAAATCAATTAATATAATACAGAAAATCAGTAAAAAAAAAAGATTGAAAAAACCCATATGATAAGTTACACACCAACTCATGGGGAAAAATCCTAATAGAATAAGGAACTTTCCTATATAAAATAACACTATTTCTATGCAACCCATAGACAGTAGAGTTTTTATTAGTAAAAAATTAAAAGCATTCTTGCAGACATCAGGCAATGATGTCCACTGTCTCTGCTCTCATTTAACATTTCAGTGGAAGTCCTAGAATCAATCAGAGAAGAAAAGAAATGAAAGGAATGCAGGAATACAAATTGGATAGGAGGAAGCAAAATTATCTCTATTTGCAGTTGGCATGATGATATAAATTGAATACCCTAGAGTCCTCCTAAAAACAGTAAACCAATACACAAATTTGGTGGCTACAAAACCAATACACAAAAATTGGTTGTATTCCTATATACAAATGATGAATCAGAGAAGAAAGAAATCAAAGAGTCTATGTCATTTTTGAAGAGTATCTAAAGCAATTAGTAGGGAGGAATCAAAACAACAGAAGAGATGAGAGACCTATACCACAACAACTTTAAAACAATTAAATAGTCGATTATAAAATTTATGTGGAATAATAAAAACATATAACCAAAACCATAATGAAAAATAAAAAACTTAGATGCATCTCATTACTTGATGTACCTAAGCTTAAAGCTATTCTATAAAGCCATAGTGATACAAAATCAGGGTACTGGAACAAAGAAAGACTCTCTGACCAATGGGTCACTGTAGAATATACCAAAATCCTCATGTATATGTTCAGCTAATATTTTAAAAATGATCTGAGATTATTAAATGAAACATATAAGGTAAAGGTAAAGGTAAAGGCCCTCCCGTTGATCGTCGATTTGCTCGAGCGGGCCCAGTAACGTCTCCATTGGAGACTTTGTTGTTACTGTGTTTGGCATATCGAATACTCTCGGTAGCTTGCCGGGCTCTCCGAGAGGGGCGGAGGAATCGAACTCGGGTCGGCCATGTTGGCCGCTTGTAAGGCGAACGCCCTACCCGCTGTGCTATCGCTCCAGCCCTAAATGAAACATAAACAGTCTCTTTTACAAATGTATTGGGATAATTGAATAACCACGTGCAAAATATTAAAGTTGAATCAGAGCTCACACCTTACAAAAGAGTGAATTGTAAGTGGGTCAAAACCCCACTTAGAATGGGGTTTCTCTAGCCATGGCAGTGGCTAGAGAACCTAAAAAATGTGACTACATTAAACTAAAAAGTTTCTGTTTAGCAAAAAGAAAAGTATGGGCTAAATATAAAAAATATCAGAATGGAAGAAAATATTTTTATTCAACAATCAGATAAAAGATTAATATCCAGGACATATATAGCACGCACAAATATTCACAAAAATAATCTAAAAGCACCACAGTAAATAGGAAGAGGAAACAAACATTTATCTGAGAAATACCAATGGATATCCAATAGGTAGATAAAAATTATTAGGGAAAGCTACTCTCACAGTGGTAGGGCGTTTGCCTTGCACGCGGCCAACATGGCCGACCCGAGTTCGATTACTCCGCCCCTCTCGGAGAGCCTGGCAAGCTACCGAGAGGATCTCACCCGCATGGCAGAGCCTGGCAAGCTCCCTGTGACGTATTCAATATGCCAAACTCAGTAACAACAAAGTCTCCAATGGAGACGTTACTGGGCCCGCTCGAGCAAATCGATGAACAACGGGAGGGCCTTTACCTTACCTTTACCTTACTCTCATCCACTGTTTATTTTTTATTTTATTTTTTTTATTAGTGAAACACCATGAGGTACAGTTGTAGACTTACAAGTTGTTGTGCTTGGGTTTCAGTTATACAATGATCGAGTACCCATTCCACCACCAGTGCCCATTCTCCACCCCCACCAATCCCAGTATCCCTCCCACCCATCCCATCCCCCATCCCACCCTGCCTCTGTGGCAGGGCACTCCCTTTTGTTCTATCTCTCTTTTTGGGTGCTGTTCATCCACTGTTTAGAGTATGTTGTACAATCCAACCCCTACGGGAAAAACATATGGTGGTTTCTCAATCAACTCATAATTGAACTGCCATTGAACCCTCAATTCCACTTTTTGGGTATCTATCCCCAATACAGAAAGACATTCATTCAAAAATATTTGTGCACCCCACTATTCATTGCAGCATTCAGTACAATTGCTAAGATTTGGAATCCACCTAGATGTTCAAGGACAGAGAACTAACTCATAAAGATGTGGACTATATATACACAATGTGTATATACCACAGAGAGAGAGAGCGCCAGCAAGTGAGAGAGAGAGAGAAAGAAAGAAAGAGAAAGAGAGAGAGTGACATATATGCAGTGAAATACTACACAGGTGTAAAAGAAGGATGAAATCACATAATTTGCAGCAATGTGAATGGAATTGAAAGATACAGTAAATGAAGAAAGGTAGAAGGATAAACATAGGATAATTTCACTTATATGTGGCATTTACAAGAACCTGAGGAGGAAACACAATGATTTGAATGAAGGAATGCTCCTACATATGGCAGGGGTCAAGGGGATTCATGTATATTGGTGGTGTTAAGAAACAATAGAGCTAAATATCTAAACACATAGTCAACAACATTGAAATAATGAGACCCAAACTTTAACCACTGAACATGAAAAGTTGCCTGTCAAGAGGGCAGGCTTGGGTAGGGAGATATGGGAGCACACTTGGGAACATTTGTGGAGGGAGGTTGACACTGGTGATGGAATTGGTGCTGGAGCATTATATGTATAAAGCTTAACTATGAATAAAATTTTAAATCACAATTCTTTAATAAAATATTTTTAAAGTACAGAAACAAATACAAAATGTCTTTCTTATGTATGTTATTCATATAAGAAAATAAATAAAGGAGACAAAACCTGAGTCTACAAAAGTGATCTTAACATGGCTAGAGGGACAGTGATAGTGGGTAGTATGGGTATGGCAGAAGGAGGTCACTTGGATAACGTGGTGGCCAATGGACACTCTGGTGAAGGGTTTGATTCTGGACTATTGCAATCTTGAAACCTACAATTAACAGCATAATAAACTATGGTTCTTAGAAATAAACAAAATTATTTTTTTAAATTAAGAAAAAAGTAGTGTAAGAAAAGCTGACTTTTGTCAGATTACGAGAGCTGGAGAAACACAAACTTTTTCCCAGGTACTTGTCCTAAAGACACAAAAATACAAGAGAGAAATACAGGTTCAGTTACAGAGAGATCCAAATATAATTAAAGAAACATATGTATATTTAACTCCAGAAGTGTTATAACACCATTACATAATTTTTGGTAGATTTTTGTGATGTATGTAAATTATTTTATAATATTTTATATTTGAATTTTTAAAGTTCTATTAGATGTGTTCTGGTATGAATCACACTTTAAGGTAAAATATTTATAGCTAAATATTGAAGCATATTTTTACTTGGAGAAATTCTTTGAATTGGAATTTCTGGATCATAGAGGGTAATCATTTTTAAAATGTACTACCAAAACAATTTTCCTTGCCATTAAAATTGAAAAGTTATATATCTTTATATAGTCCTATCAGAAATTATGAATAAAAACAAAAACTCACTTCCCAAAGAACTGTAGAAAATTGTTTTTTACACCGAAATTAACTTTTAATTAACTTAACTGATATGAGGAGAGGAGAGAGCACTATTTCTATGTTTGATTTAGAAAATAAACTATCCTGAGAATAACTTATAAGTTTGTTTTTTATTAAGACTTCATGTCATAGGACACACAATATTTATTTATATTATATTCAAAGAAAGCAAATATGAGCAAAATTTATCATTAAAGTTTGTACTGTTTTGTAATATAAGCATCCAAATAAAGAGAACGGGGCTTAAGATAGAGAATAATATGCCCATCATCAGAATTTTAAATACACTTTTGAAGAGACAGAACAAAGAGGTTCTGAAAAAAGATTTTAGTGACTGAGAGGAAGGGTCACCACTAACAGGCTAATTATTTGTTCCCAAAGTAGCAGAGTAAAATAATGTTGTCCCTGAGAGAAATTGAATACAGAGAATTTGGTAGGAGTTTCTACTTGTTAACTTTAGGTTGGCATCAAAGAAATCCAGATGAGTACTGTTTTCCTGATCCTCTCTATATATATATGGGGTCAAAAGGATTTAAAATTTGAAGGCTAAAAACAGAAATTAGTCTACCATGGACCCAAGAAATAAATCCGTCATTCCTCAAAGACTTTCTTTCTTAATTTACATGTGCAGACCTAGACTTCATTCACATCATGTCCAAGCGTAATATTTGCATTTTGTATCTCTATTTTCAAATGATCGGACCAAGTTTGGAGAGTTTGGAGAGCTTTAAAGTTGATGCAAAAAAAAATGGAACTTTTTTTTTTTCAAAAGGAAGCGGGGTGTCTTTGATAACAATAAGACTACAAACTAACAAGGATACTTGCACATTGTACTCATCTCTGAAATTTCTTAACATTGTGCAAAGGATCTACATTTTACTGACATAAAAAAAAAATCACACAACCAAACTGGGTGTTAATTTTCTACTCTCTATCATCAAACGTGAAAGCAGAAGAAAGTCTTTGCAGGGTTAGTAAGGATTGAATTAATATTAACATGACTCCCTGAAACAAGACCTAGAGCTCAGTGTTTGACTAAAAATGTAAGCTTATGTTAAGTGTATTTTTCTAATGAAAATATTTATGATAATCTAGTTTCTCTTCAGTTTCTCTTTCACATTTTACAAGATAGTGTTTGTATTTTGGAACTGTTTCAAAAATCGCACATAAATAAATGCAAATGTCTAGAACTAAAAGAAGGGTACTCTCAGGGTGGTATTACAGCAATTTTTATTTATCCTTTGAAATATATTTTTATTTTAAAAACCAATAGCATTCTACATTTTTATAAGAAGAGAAAGAAAGATGGAAAGAAGGGTGGGGTTGGGAAGAAAATCTACTCTTCATGCAACCTAAAAACACAAACCTAAGAGAATGATATAAACAGACAGAAAGATATGGGCAGAATTATAAATGCCCCTTACAGATTTCACACTGACAAGTGAAAATGCTCATAATAATATGTGAAGGGGAAATCAGCTTACAGATGTTTTATAAACATAGCAAAATTTTCTATAAAATATGTGAACCTTATAATAACAGCAATCATAAAAATAAAAAATAGTTAGCAATAACAATAACAGAAAGAATAATAAAACGGCTCTTACATGCTTGATAGAAACCAGAAGCAGCAGGGTGAAGACGGACCTCATGGGGGTACAGACGGTGAGACTCGGGGGAAAGCAGATGGGGCTGGCCCACCAGGCATCCCTGCTGCCCATGGACTGCACAGGAATTCCAGACAGGGGTCCCACTTTTCTTCTCCCAGGTCCTGAACTGCTCAGTTCGAGCCTCATCTTCCCTGCTCCTCTTTCACAAGTATGGGCACATTTCTCTCACAGTCCAAGATGTACCACAAGCAGGCTCCCACTGCATTCCTCTTTGTATAGCCAAAAAATATTTGCACAAATCTCCATGCTGCACTGAGAGCCAGTCTAGTATGCTCTGAATCTCGAAAACTTTCACCCGCGGTATTTCATCCTAATAACCTCCCTCCGCCCTCCCCCTAACACACACACATGAAACAAATACAAACACACACGAAAGGCAGGGAGAGATTTCCCAGACCTTCCTTAAGTCATCTGTGCTTCTTGGAACTTCCTCAACGGAGGCTGCCGGGAAGAAAAATCAAGGGCTAGTGAAGCTGGAGTGATAGTACAGTGGGTAGGGCATTTGCCTGACTAATCAGGGTTGATCCTCAGCATCCCATATGGAACCTTGAGCACCACTAGGAGTAACTTCTGAGTGCATAGCCAGAAGTAACCCTGAGTATAGGTGGGGTGTGGCCCAAACCCCCTCTTCACAAAGAAGTGTTGTTAGTTTCTACCCCAAGGCCTTGCTCTATGCATAGGGTCAGAATCCCATTGGCAGGTGTTCGAGTTGCTGATATTCAGACATAAGGAGAGACTGACCTAGAACCAGTTCTAAGTTGGGCTTCTTCATCAACATCACTGTCCTCCCGTTGTTCATCGATTTGCTCGAGCAGACCCAGCAACGTCTTCATTGGAGACTTTGTTTTTACTGTGTTTGGCATATCGAATATGCCTTCTTCATAAGAGTTAAAATCTTTGAGATTGTCTAGGCTGAACTGAGATGAGACATAAACTATCCCTGGACTAAGATATCAACAATTGCTCAAAACCAGAGAGATCAGCTCTAACAAAACACCAGTCTGCATGGACTTCTGTCTTTTTTTTTTTTTTTTTTTATTGAATCACTGTGGGAAAGGTTACAAAGCTTTCAGGTTTATGTCTCAGTCATGCAAATATCAAACACATTTCCCTTTACCAATACTTATTTTTTCCCATGAAGAACCCCAATAAAACCCCACCCCCCACCCCTCCCCGTCCCTGTGAGGCAGATGAATTCTAGTTAACACTCTATCCGCTTTGATTAGATTGTTTCAATAAAAGATTCACCACTATTATTTAGAGTTTACCCCCCCCCCCCAATCAGACATGCTGAAAAAGCATTGTGAAGTGATTTGCTTTCTACAGCTGGGTTCAAGAATTAAATGTTGGTTTTGGATTTCTGCTATTTTACCTATTGACCCTGGAAGTATTTCTACTGAAAGTCAGATAGTTAAGAAATTGGTTTCTGTGTTCTGGAGTCGTGGCCGTGCTGGAGAGCCGCTCGTGGGGGGCAACTGGTGGCCTCGGTAGGGCGTGAAGGGCGGAGCGAAACGCCCCCCTTCCCATGAGGTTTTAGTCGCCCCCACACTCCCGGCTCATACCTGCTGTCCACAAGGCTCCCATGTGGCCGCCATCTTTCTTTCCAGAGAGGAGAGGGCGAATGGGGCAACACCCTTTCCCCTCCGGCAGACTTGATGGGCTGGATCAACGCATAGTCCGTTCACTTTTCTGCTCCAAGCTGCTGGGTTCTGCATTAAGTCCTTGTGCTTCTGGGGCCATGGCCGTGCTGGAGAGCCGCTCGCGGGGGGCGACTGGTGACCTCGGTAGGGTGTGAAGGACGGACCGGAACGCCCCCCGACCCATGAGGTTTTAGTCGCCCCCACTCCCCCGGCTCATACCTGCTGTCCACAAGGCTCCCATGTGGCCGCCATCTTTCTTTCCAGAGAGGAGAGGGCGAATGGGGCAACACCCTTTCCCCTCCGGCAGACTTGATGGCCTGGATCAATGCATAGTCCGTTCACTTTTCTGCTCCAAGCTGCTGGGTTCTGCATTAAGTCCTTGTGCTTCTGGGGCCGTGGCTGTGCTGGAGAGCCGCTCGTGGGGGGCAACTGGTGACCTTGGTAGGGCGTGAAGGACGGACCGGAACGCCCCCCTTCCCATGAAGTTTTAGTCGCCCCCACACCCCCGGCTCATACCTGCTGTCCACAAGGCTCCCATGTGGCCGCCATCTTTCTTTCCAGAGGGAGGAGGGCGGAAGGGAGCAACACCCTTTCCCCTCTGGGCAGAAATGATTGTCTGGATTAATGCATAGTCCTTTCACTTTTCTGCTCCAAGCTGCTGGGTTCTGCATTAAGCCCTTGTGCTTCTGGGGCTGTGGCCGTGCTGGAGAGCCGCTCGTGGGGGGCAACTGGTGACCTCGGTAGGGCGTGAAGGACGGACCGGAACGCCCCCCTTCCCATGAAGTTTTAGTCGCCCCCACACCCCCGGCTCATACCTGCTGTCCACAAGGCTCCCATGTGGCCGCCATCTTTCTTTCCAGAGAGGAGAGGGCGAATGGGGCAACACCCTTTCCCCTCCGGCAGACTTGATGGCCTGGGTCAATGCATAGTCCGTTCACTTTTCTGCTCCAAGCTGCTGGGTTCTGCATTAAGTCCTTGTGCTTCTGGGGCCGTGGCTGTGCTGGAGAGCCGCTCGTGGGGGGTGACTGGTGACCTCGGTAGGGCGTGAAGGACGGACTGGAACGCCCCCCTTCCCATGAGGTTTTAGTCGCCCCCACACCCCCGGCTCATACCTGCTGTCCACAAGGCTCCCATGTGGCCGCCATCTTTCTTTCCAGAGGGAGGAGGGCGGAAGGGAGCAACACCCTTTCCCCTCTGGGCAGAAATGATTGCCTGGATTAACGCATAGTCCTTTCACTTTTCTGCTCCAAGCTGCTGGGTTCTGCATTAAGCCCTTGTGCTTCTGGGGCCGTGGCTGTGCTGGAGAGCCGCTCGTGGGGGGCAACTGGTGACCTCGGTAGGGCGTGAAGGACTGACCGGAACGCCCCCCTTCCCATGAGGTTTTAGTCGCCCCCACACCCCCGGCTCATACCTGCTGTCCACAAGGCTCCCATGCGGCCGCCATCCTTCTTTCCAGAGAAGAGAGGGCGAATGGGGCAACACCCTTTCCCCTCCGGCAGACTTGATGGCCTGGATTAACGCATAGTCCTTTCACTTTTCTGCTCTAAGCTGCTGGGTTCTGCATTAAGTCCTTGTGTTTCTGGGGCTGTGGCCGTGCTCCAAACTTAACTCTGACTTTCAGGGAGAAAGATTGGGTGGTTTACTTCTCATTGATCACTTTGTATATAGAGAGATGTCTTACGCGGCCGCGCGGTTTTGAGAAAAAGTCCTCGTTCCCGCATACTCGAGCTGTGTTTGTAGAGGCTTCTGGTCACCGGGGTTCCATCTGGGGGAGGCGGGATGCGGCACCTACTCCATCTGGAACTTGCGGGTGAACTCGGCTCTTTTTGGAACCTGTTTTTTCTTTTTTTTTTTTCCCTCCGGGATCCCGCACCCTCCATGTGTTCTTTCTCTTATGCTTAAGGCTTCAAAGATGGCGCTGGGGGGCGGGCTGTGGGCATGACTTCCAGAATCAGAGGTTACCTGGGAGGTGTAGTCCGGCAGATTTGAGAAAAAGTCCTCGTTCCCGCATACTCGAGCTGTGTTTGTAGAGGCTTCTGGTCACCGGGGTTCCATCTGGGGGAGGCGGGATGCAGCACCTACTCCATCTGGAACTTGCGGGTGAACTCGGCTCTTTTTGGAACCTGTTTTTTCTTTTTTTTTTTCCTCCGGGATCCCGCACCCTCCATGTGTTCTTTCTCTTGTGCTTAAGGCTTCAAAGATGGCCGGACTTCTGTCTTTATAATAGAAAAATAACATTCTGAAAAAGTCAACAGTCATTTATTCTGTTTTTGTTTGTTTGTTTGTTGTTGCTTTTTAGGTCACACTCAGTGATGCTCAGTGGTTACTCCTGGCTCTACACTCAGGCATCACTCCTGGCAGTGCTGGGGGACCATATGGGATGCCAGGGATCGAACCTGGGTTGGCTGCATGCAAGGCAAATGTCCAACCTGCTGTACTATCACTCTGGCCCCAATGATCATTTATTCTTTTAAAAAACTCACCATGAATAAGTTACAAATATATTTATGGTTGATTTTCAGGAGTATATTTTGCAACACCAATCCCTTAACCTGTATCCAGGCAATGGAGAAATAGAAAATCAGATAAAGTTCTTGCTTTGCATGTAGCCAAGAAGGGTTCAGTCCATGGCAACTGATATGGTCCCCTGAATTTGTCAGGAGTAATCACTGAGTGCAGAGCCCATTAATTTTTAATCTTTTTTACTTTTGCTTTTTTACTGAGTCACTCTCTATCTCTCTTTTTTGGCATTGTGGTTTATAATATTGATACTGTTACTGTCACTGTCCTCCCGTTGTTCATCGATTTGCTCGAGTGGCCCCAGTAACGTCTCCATTTTGAGACTTGTTGTTACTGTGTTTGGCATATTGAATATATCACGGGTAGCTTGCCAGGCTTTGCTGTGAAGGCGAGATACTCTCAGTAGCTTGCCGGGCTCTCTGAGAGGGAGGAATTGAACCGGGCTCGGCCAGGCTGGCTGCATGCAAGGCAAACGCCCTACCGCTGTGCTATCGCTCCTATTGATAGCAATAAAAAATTGATCAAGAATATCCCTTTACCTACTTTTAACACTCAGATCTTGTCCAGGGTGATAGTTTCCAGCTATTATTGTCATACTAGTCTCTTCTCTATCTTACCTACCCTCAGCCTTTTTAAAAAAACTGAATCACTGTGTCATACACTGTTACAAAGTTTTTAATGACTGGGTTTCAGTCATAAAATGTTCCAACAACTGTCCCCTTCACCATTGTACTTTTCCCACCATCCCTGTTCCCAGTTTTCCTCCCATCACCTTCCACCAAGCCTGCCTCTAAGCAGGCACTTGTCCTCTCTCTCTCTCTC